TGAAGGCGTGGTGACGAGTAGGCGAGTACAGCCCCACAGAACTCCGCACAGATTTGTAGACTCAATCACGATATATGCACACATACAGACAGGCACTCCATCATGCCCCAACAACCAACCATCGTCCGAAGAGTGGGAAACTGGCTAAGAAACCGGATCTCATGACCTGATGAAGAGGGGCACGGACGCATATCAGAAGAGCACGAACAGCGCCTAGCAGAGGAAGTAGAACATAGTCAAAGAGGGAGGGTGATAGAGTACAACCGTTGGATAGAGAGACAGCGACGGATTGAGCATAACCTGCGATTACAGAGGGAAAATCAAGACGAGCTACGCAATCCACGAAGGGGTCCTTTTGTGTATACGGCCCAACTGCTGCAAGTACCGGAGGGTGTGGAGAGAATCAGTAGAAGTCTTGTCCTGGACATCGAAGAGAGCGGAGTGAGATTTAGATTCGATATTATCCAAGTGTATAACGACCACGTCACTTGGGCTGTGACAGCCAGTTGGCCGGGACAGTAAGGCAAGGTAAGGGCATCTTTATGGTAGTCTTCCCAAGTTCCAATCCCTCGATTGTGCTCTTATTTTATGTGAAAAGCAAGAGATGTTGAAAAGATCGTGGAGTGGTTCCACTTGAGAAAAGCTAGTTCTCGTGGTTTCAAGGTCTAGACTGTACTTGGTTTGGGCTGTTTCTTCCCCAGCGCTTAGATGCAGGCCATCACAGGCCGCTCAAACCAATCATATCCCACCATTAGCCTCTCCCCAGTCATGTATAAACCAGCGAGGGGACGAATGCCACTCATCTCTGCGCTTCGGAAGTGTCTGCATGATCTTTCTCTTCACTTTGTCCAAAGATGCGTTGATAAGAGGAGAATCGCACAATGTCTTCCATTTTCCTTCTCCATGTCTCATACCTACCACTCCTCCAAGCTCTCTTCATTACCGCAACCACGGCTTCACCAACTGACATCTGGCACGTTAGCATTTGGGAGGCGCCGGCACCTCCACCAGGGAAAGGCCCACCACTCGACGACCACTCCCTCCGAGATCTCTCTTACCTACCAGCACAGATTGCCTCCATAATCGGCGCATACGTCCTATCTGTCCTAATCATCGGCTCTGCCATCCTATTTGTTGGACGGCGTCTTCGTCGTGCAACTCAAGCTTCACCGGGAACGCTCTCAATGGAAATGATGAAGCCTGTGAAGCATGACGTCTCCAAAGCCTTCGACCCCTCTCCAGTATCTCCTTCGAATAACAATCTCTATGGGCCAAGCCCAAACAGCACGATTGATATGAAGAACAATTGGCCAAGCCCGCAGAACAAAAACGCTAGAAACAGTGATGGTTGGGGCTCTATAGCCAAAGGTCACAGGAAGCAACCGTCTGTAGTGAGCAGCGTTGTGACTTTTGATGAGAGTGTGATTGAAGACGACAAGGAAAGGAATCAGAAGGAGATGGAGCGACTGTACGCTGCGGTGATGGAGCATGATGAGACGAAGTCCACATCTGTCTCTCATCTGCCAGACGAACAGCGACCTCAAAGCCCACCAGAGCTGCAACATCTTCGCTCTACGCAGCAGCCATTGGAACCTCCACCTCGCTCAGACACTGTGTCTCCTGCTCGAATCGCAACAAAGTCACCTCGCGCCTCTTCTAGACCTAAGCCCCTCTCATTCCACAGCCGCAACTCCTCACGTTCATCACTTGGCAGCTTCAGCAAGAAACGCGGCATTCGCAGCCTTCCCATCTCTCCTCCAATGGGCTCTCCGGACCTTGCTCCAGGGTACAACGCCGGATACGGCGAAGCAGAACCACTTACTCCTAGGGTCTATGATGACCCAGGTCCTCCACCACTCACACCACCTCAACGAAAAGCATCTCAACCGCGGGACAATGTGATGGATGCTTCGCGGCTCAGTCCGAGGAACGCGCAGTTTCAGGAACATTCCATACCGTCTATTCGGACACCACGAACCTCTATTCCCGCAGTTCCAGCGATCGAAACAATACCGGAGACATATCATCGACCAGAAATGCAGAGCAGGAACAGCAATAGGTCCAAGGCAAAGCGTACGCCTGCTCCTCTCGCACTTCGCACTCAAGCTCTTGTTGGCTCTGGGCCCGGCTCGAGCTCGAGCGCCCAGCACCATCCTCTCCGCAGTGCTCCTCTCCCTTTGCGGAACCAGCACCCAACCAACTATAACTCCGATCGTCCTCCATCTATGATCAAAGCCACAGTGCTCGAGCGCAAAGCGCCAAATGTTCAGAGTCTTCGTACGCCAATGACTGGAGTGCCGATGACACCGTACAGTCCGTATATGCCACGTACCCCACTCACACCCATGACGCCGAGTAGGCTTGTCACGAGGGCGGAGAGGAAAAGGAGGGAGAAGGAGGAGGGAAGGAGAGTGGCGACGATTGATGACGCTGTGGAGGAGGAAGCTGATATGTAAGTGGACCTCGCGGAGGCATTCGCTCCTTTTTCTGTAGGGCACTACGAATTGCCACATACGTCGCGACAGCGGAGAAGCTCTCACCTAGTCCTGCACCGCGTTTGGCAACTTCAAGTTTTTTCGTCGTCAAGAGAAATGCTAACTCCGAGACTTGCAGGTGGGGAGATGCATATCCATGATTGAATGTTGTAGGACGCGAGTGAAGGAGCTTTTCAAATCAGAAAACTATTCTATTTCGATGTAGTTCCGTGAGAGAGAGCGTACAGGCATAGCGAAAGCAGTTTGTGGGTTTGTCGTGTTGTGGTGTGTAATTTTATCATCACGAATGCGAATACCCTCACGTCACAACACAAACATCAGTTCATAACATAGCAACTTGAATCTTTCCACACTCCCTGCACAGATCAGCTTCAGCTTTAACACTAACAAAAATTTGGTACTCACATCGCTCCTGACATTCTTCACGATGCTACTTAGAGGTAACTATTGTGGTGGCAAGCACAACCCAAAGATCCACAAGAGCAGTGTGAGTCAACAGTACAGAAGACACCCCCAGCTGTTCAACGCGGCCAACCTTGCCGGAAACTGTGACCAAGCAGGAGCAAAAGGAAACAGTAGGGGGTGGGATGCTGAGATGCTGATGTAAGACTGCAGATGCCTGACGTACTCTACAATGAAAGCTGATCACCTCTTCTAGTCGTCCTGAGAGAGATTCAGAGGAGTCCGACACACATGACATAGGCATGGAACCCAAGACAGTCGAGGAGAAGACCATGGACTCGGCTGAATGGAACCGATTAGAGGAGAACGAAGACGAGGTTGTTTCGACTTTGGAAATGCTTCTGGGCGGCCCCTCCATCAATTCGCCGATGAGGGATTCACCAGTGACAATGAAGAAAGTCATAGTGACGTCTTCATCGAAAACCATGAAATCAACCGATTCGGAGCCTGAGGACTCGGATGAGATGGATACCGCTACTACCACTACGGACCATGATACGGATGCTACCGCAAGTTCAGACGAGACAAATACCATTCGGAATGAGGGTATGCTTCCAGTCGAAGACCTCTACCCAAAGTTTACGGTCGAGAAGTATAACAAGAATCCAGCAGGAGAGTCCGACAAGACAGGTGCTATCAAAGACTATAATATGAATCCATTCCGAGAGTCCGATGAAACATCCGCAACCGGGAACCACAATATGGATCTAGCAAACGAGCCCGTCAAAACATCTACTTGTGCGGACCACGAACAGAAACCAGCAAAGGAGCCCAACGAGACTTCCAACACTGCGGACCTCCGAACGAGCACGGTCGAATCCTCCAACAACAAAAAGGTAGAATACAGGCCATTCAACTTGCTGGGCTGTCCCGACAACGTTGTTCACCAGATTCTCCGTTGTGTCCTTTTCAGCGATGAGCAGATCAAACCATTCTGGAATGTCGGCGCCCTCGAAGTCGCCGCGGAAAAGTCAGGAAAAGAGAACTTTACCACGGTTCTCGTAGCTTTCGCGGGCAGCAAGAAGCTCGTCGACGAAGCCACTACGATCCTCTACGGCGAGAATGTTTTCAAACTTCAGCACGCTAAGGTCTCACTGTGGTGGCTCAAGCGCATTGGATCCAATATCTCCAAGATCAAACGCCTTGCAATTTCAGTCGAAGAGGGTGTGATGGACCAATTCGGGACTCGTTCCGAGACGCTCTGGTACTCAATCTTCCTCTTGCTCGAAGCGAAGCACAGACTCCAGTGCCTGAAAGTCAGTTTCGCGGATTGGGGCAATGGGGTTGATGAGGGTGATGGGCTTGATCCGGACAGGGACATTTACGTCTGGGAGCCGCGATATGGTATCCTTAGGACGCTGTTGAGCTTCCGAGGACTAGAGTTGGCATTCATTACGCCAGGACCCTACGTGGGTGAGTGCTACGCAGATTTGCTTCAGGATGCTCTTATCATGAGTCCAGGCCAGTCGAACGAAGAATTGACCGAGTTTGAGCAAGAGGTTCAGGAACCGAAGAGAACCAAGTACCTGTTCTAATGGATCATCAAGGCGATGTCATAGGGGCTGATGTGAAGGGTATGTGCACAGGCATACCGCAGGATGCTATTGTTCTGGACCGGGGTCAGACGAGCAACGACTCGTTCATTTTGAGCAAGATGTTCAGGGACCGCAGCGGGCGACATACACATTCTTACGGATCTCCAAGGCCATGAGGCTTTCGTTGGACATCCTTCCGCGATCAGACCATCGTCGTGTTCCTTGACGGTCGGTATCCAATGATGGCATCCGAACCCCGCTTCGTCAGGCTCACCGCATTACACTTTTGGCCCAACGGGTCAAGGGAACCCAGTCATATTACTGCATTTGGATGCTCGCCAGCCGAGCAGCGAGCAACACCGAGCATTAATACGTGACCGATCTTACCCCTCCACCCCCTTTCGTCTTTTCCTCCCATGCGGTGACTTTTGTCGGTACGTCGGACACCAAGTATAAGTAGGCCTTAGCTCTCCGCTCCCTCTTCCAGTGCGCCCTCAGCGCGAGCACCATGGCCTCACTCACCCCATCGTCCGTCATCCACATCCATGCCTACCCGCCCCCCATCTTCGCCTCCGCCCCCGTCCCCGAAACAAGCCCTTCCTCCTCCTCCTCCTCCTCCACCGCCACCGCTGCCAAAGATCCCACCCCCCCAGCAACCCCGGCACCCCCAACCCCGGAACCAGAACCCCCCACCTCCCACCTCTCGACCCCCCAACTCCTCCCGGCCCCCCGGACCCTCATCCCCGCCTCCGCCCTCGCGGCCAAGGCCACCTCGACGAAGACGACCGGCGCCGCTGCCAAGCCGGTCGTCACGCGGGAAGGTCCCGTGGAGGTCGAACCGCCTCCTCCTTCTTCTTCTTCTTCTCCTTCTTCTTCTTCGTCGTCGAAAAAGGACGGAAAGGCGGTGGCGGAACGGCCCAGGACCAGGAATGGGTATTTGCCGCCTGGGACGGACGTTGCGGGTGGTGTTGGGATGGGGAAGGGGAAGATGGGGAAGATGGGGAAAGCGGGTGGGGATGGGGATGGGAAGGGGAAGTGGGTGAGGTATCGGGTCGTGGAGAGTGGGATCACGACGACGGTGGAGGGGTTGGAGGGGGGGGGGAGGAGGACTGTGTGGGTTTTTTTTCTCTTTCTGTTTTGTTTTTTTTGTTTTGTTTGGGGGTTTGGGGTTTTTTTGGTTCGGGTTTGCGCGGTTTGTTTTTGATTGTTTGTTTCGTTTCTGCGCGGTTTGTTTGTTTGTTTGTTTCGTTTCTGCGCGGTTTGTTTGTTTGTTTGTTTCGTTTCTGCGTGGTTTGTTTGTCCAAGTGCTTGGTTGGAAGATCGGGGATGAGATGGTTCGTTGGTTGGAGATGAGTGGGATGGATGATGGCGGGTTATCGTCGTCGTGAGACAGACTGCTTTTTCGTTCCCTACTGCTTCTGCTTCGGGTTTTCATCCTGTTATTTTCTATCCTATTCTTTGTTACTCCACTCCACTTCTATCATATGTACTCATGGCTTCCTCTACTTGTTCCACTCATTTGCTTCTTACTTATCACCTCCCTCACAAAAGCAACACTGACGCCCGTATCGTGCGTGCAGATGGGTGCGAACGGATAGGGAAGTTACCGTACGTACCGCTTTACTATCCATCCATACCTCATCCATCCGCACAACACTCCCTCCCCTATCACAATCCATCCATCCTAACGGACAGATCCAGGTCCTGATCGAGCCGGCCGAGGGGGACAAGGCCAAGGAAGAGAAGGAGCAGAAGAAGGAGACGATCGTGGGAGGGTCGAGTGCGAGGCGGAGGGCGAGGGTGGCGGGGTCGCGCTGAGGGGTTGGTGTGGAGAGGGAGGCTGGACTGGAGTGGAGTGGAGTGATGGGGTTGGCGGATGGATGGATGGGTAGGGAAGATGTGCGTATGGGTTGACGATTTGATGACTTTGATGGGATTCTGTCACGCAGGAGGGGAGGGATATCGGGTGGATGTTTGATGAGAAACGAGCTTTACGAACATGGGCAAGGTAGGGCTTTGAAGTAATAGGAATGACTGTCATTATCTGGTATCTTATGTTATAACAATGGCTGTTTCTCTCCTCGCCCATCGATCGATCAGACAAAAGCAAAAACTTTTCCACCGGGGTATCCAATCGTCCCTTCGTAATGTGATAGCGCATCCTTCAAAGTCCGTGGTGAAAAGCAACAGCCATCCCATCCTCCTGAATGCATGTCAGGGTTCTCACCACCAAGCTGCAACATCCTTCCTTCCCGACACGTCCTCATCCGCACACTCTATCCTGCCTTCGACGCCCTTTCCTTTCTGCCTTCTCTCATCTCTCAGAGAGATGTCCCTAAGGATACTCTCCAACGTCTCATCGTCACCCACACGAATCTCTACCACCTCTGCATCTTCGCGCCGGGAGAGCAGTTCGTCGTTCTCCGCGCAAGGCCAGGGGATGCTGATGAAAGGGAGATCTTCGTCTCGGACCTCGCCTTCTTCCTCGCTGTCGGAGTCTGCATCTTCTTCCCTTCTATGTTCAAGGTCAGCGATGTTGGGGTCCCAGCTCTCCTTCTCGCCATCCCTCAATCCTCGCTTGAATTCGTCATAAGCGCGTACGGCTTTGCCTTTGCCTTTGGAGGACGAACAGTCTAGACCATCATCCCACTGACCCTCGACTTCCAATGCGCTAGAAGCAGGTAGCCATTCATTTGGTGCGAGATGAAAGGAAGGGATGAAGGGTTCGCGGTGGCTGGAATGGTCGGAGGGATCGAGGTGGCCATCAGGTACGCCTGGGGTGGATAGAGTGGGGAGAGTCATCGGGGCGGAGATGTTGTGTGTTTCGTCAGCTGGATTGTTGGGGACGTCATAGGCGGCCGGGGAGACGACGCGAGCTGGAGCGCCTGTAAGTTCTTCGTTCGTGGGGTTTGAACAAGAATTGGAGTCAGAGTGGTTGTCATCTTCATTAGCTCCGACTGCTTGTGGTGATTGCCCTGATGCGGTATGTTCTTGGACTTGGCCGTCTTCGTCGACGAATCTTGAGTCCCAATTCTCATTAGTCGAGTCCCAGGTACCTTCGTTAGTTGGACCGGTCGGATACAGGCCTTCATGCGGCGCAACTGCACCGTTGACTTCATCTGAATCCTCAGGACCCCAGCCAGACCCTTCCCCACCCTCCTCATCTGGATTGTTCTCAGCATCCAGACATTGCCGCTCATAAGAGCTCAACGGCTCTTCGTAGTCATGGTAAGATGCGCCGATGGGAGTGGAGTGCCTATAGTATGACTCGCCAAGGTCCTCTGCCATGAGCTGAGCGATGAGGGCTTCGGTCGCTGCGTCGACACCTGAGGAGGAAGTCATGGTGATATTATAGATTGAATTGGAAGAGCAAGGCGGTCAGAAAAACTCCAGAAGTTTCGGAGAAGACTGAGTAGGATGAGGCAGGTGGTATGACAATGGTTGTATCGGATAGGTGGTGCGGCGGCTCGATGTCAGTCAGTCCTCCCACAATGTGAAGCGCTGTGTCGTGATTGATGTGCAACAATCGGTATGTAAGACCCAAAGCTGAAGCAGGAGTAAAAAGTGAGTACAGAATATGGTGTTGTGAAACCTTGAGGAAGGAAGGAGGAGGAAAGAGCGTCCTGTAATAGGTGAGTGCGCTCTGTGTTCAAGGTTGAGGCCAAGTGAGATGAATACTGAATGTTAGAAAGAGGGCGCCAAGGATGAGTGAATTGGAGAATATAAAGAGTCATAGTCAAAGTGTGAAGCGCTGGTTTCAACGGCCGACCCGTGGCTCTGGCTCTCTCCCTATAAGGCTTGAATCTTGATTGTGTTTCGAAGGCCTTGACACTCTAAAGTAATCCATCGCAAGCGTTTCAGAAAACTCGCTTGGAGGGGTACGCTCGGCGAGTGCGACCGGAAGGAACAGACCTCATTTGCAAGGCGGGGCTCGAGGCAGCCAGTAAGTCGGCTGCGATAGAGTTGTAGCATACATATATCATGGATTAATGAGGCCGTGATCATGAGGAACAATGGCGGGACCACGATAAAAGGGTTAGTGGGCAAATAATGCATCCTTTGAGTAGCGTCGACGAGAGACAGACTTCTACCAGCTTAGAGGAGAGAGAGCATCGCCGACTCAATGGTATCAAAATCTGAGTGAGCACACAAATGGCAAATAGAAAACTCCGCTATGCATAGGCTGCCATAGCTCTGCCTGCTTGACCCCAAAGCACGCTTTACAAGTCAATCAAACTTCCTCCCTGCTGTTGACCTTGATGCGATTGCTGGGCTCCGAAGGGGTTGTTGTTTGCCTGCCCAAATGGACTTCCTCCAAAACCATTAATGCCTGCTGGTCCCGTCTGCGCTGGTGCCATGCGGTTTTGCTGTTGCTGTGCTCCGTAACCACCTTGCATCTGAGGACCGCCAGTGAATTGTTGACTGAAGAATGGATTGTTCCCTGTTTGGGATGCATGCAACTTGTTGAGGCCTTGCCCGGAGCTGTTGACGAAGGTACCTGGCGCCGTGTGCTGGGATGGAATACGCGTCTCGCCCGTATTACCAAAGGTATCCATGCCTTCGCCCGAGGCTAACAGAGCGTTGAGCCGCTCATGCTGAGGGTTTTGTGCTTTGTGTGGTGTAGCGGTTTGCTGAGGCGCCTGGTAGTTGGCAATCGGGTTGAAGGCAGATTGGTTGTTGAAATTCGTCGCAGTTCTTTGCTCTGCAAGAGAGCTCAAGGATGGTGGGCCAGTTTGCTGCTGCTGGGCTGGTGGACGAGCCGACGCGAAAGGATTATTTGATCCAGTCGGCATAGGCTTTAATGCATCATACTGTGTCTGGTTCGTAGCCCAAGGATTGTGGCTACCTGCTTGTGGTGCAGGCGAGCTGGTTTGTTGCGGCTGCTGTTGCTGGAATTGGTTGCCAAATCCGTTCTGTTGCTGTGTGTATGGATTGTTCAAGTTGTCAAACGCAGTCTGCTGTGGCTGGATTGTTGATTGCGGTTGCATGTAATTTGGTTGTTGCTGCTGGAATTGTGATTGGTCAAACCCTGTCTGTTGAGGTTGAAACCCGTTCTGAAAGCCAGTCTGCTGGTTCTGGAAGCCGGTAGGCTGTGAATATGCATTATTGAGAAAGCCCGTAGATTGTGGCTGTTGCGGCTGCTGGTCCACGGGATTGCCAAACCAGTCTACCGCACCCTGCTGCTGATAGCCCTGATTGAAGCCTGTGTACTGTGGTTGTTGACTGCTGGGGGCTGGGGTATCATCAAACAGTGACGTAGCATTGCTCTCTTCCAACTCCCGCCTGCGCAACTCCTCCTCTTCTTTGCTAAGCTTTATGGCTTTTGCTAAGTCATCGTCCGGCGGAGGCTCTGTAGCTGTGTTCCTTCGTTTTCTATCCTCCTCTGCCTCGTACTTGCTAGCTTCAATTGCTAGCTTGTACTCCGCATCTTCCTCGTCGGTAGCGTTCTGCTTGCGCCTTTCGGGTCTACGTCGTGGGGGTGTTGAGAGATCACCGCCACTACCACCCCCATATCCGGATCCCTGAGGTCCAAATTCTTCGATACCAGTGACTCTCGACTTCCAAGTCTTTCGATCAGACCGCTCAGTCCGTAGGCGCTCCTCATCCAGGACTAATGATGTAAGTTCTTTTGCGGAGACTCGTACTAGTCTTCATCAGCTCTGGTCGAAGCGCAACACCTATCTCTGCTCACCGTTTTGCCCAACGTCTTTGCCGTCATCATCAACGTATTGAAATTCCCTCAGAGTCTTTATGATGTAAACGTTCTTGCGAGCCCAAGTGACGACCAGTTCTGATCCTTCGTGGAGACAATAATCTAGCACTTTCAGCGACTTGAGGACATGGCGCCAATTCTTGCCCTTGTCGTTCATCCGCTTGTCGAGCATATCCATTATTTCGTAGAAGTCGTTAGAACTAACTAGGCTTAGTAATGCAGGCGACGAAAGAGGATGGTGACTATACCCATTGAAGGTCAATTGAGCGATCTCGCTCATCTCTGTGCCTGTAGGTCCCCATGGATCATTGCTCGTGGCTGATAGCGAATGATTAGTTGCTGCGCTATCATTGGCTCTTGGGTGGCGCATACCATTTCGAACCTTGACTTGGACATGAGAATAGCCTTTGGTAACGTTCTTTACGCTTCGAACGACTTTCGACATGGTCGCGATATAGGGAAGGGTTTGGCCTGAGGCCTAGGAGGGTGCTCCGATGGCACAGGAGCTGTTGGCAGCCGCAAAATCCCCGGAACAGGCTATCTAGTGTAACGCAAAGGCCAACGGAGGTGCTAGCCGCGTGATGACTGTGGGCCAAAGGAAAGAGCCTGTGTAAGCTTCTATGAGCAGCTCAACCAAAAGATGTGCAAAATCAGGTTGTAGCTACGAAGAATAGATTTATGGGCGAATTCGTTATACCACTCTCGTCCGGTACAGAAGGAATGACGTTGGGAAGAAGCTCTGGTATCGGTGTCGGCGGGATACCTTGGCAGCGCTAGTCAGCCAAATTCGCCACTCCTCCTCGGCCGAGGCTCGAGGGGCTGGCTGTGACAAAGATCCAACGCGTCGTCACTTAGGTATCAGATTACGTGTCGTAGGCGCTGGTATGATCAGCTTACGGGTAGACTCTGCTGCATGCCACTGGATATCATTTGCTCTATCATACACTGTGCTGGTCATACTGTAAATGCAAAGCGACTTCGCCGAGGCCAGCATTCCGGCTCCCCATAAAGCAGAAAGGCAGACATTGTCTGTTCCCCTGGAATTAACATAGCTAGGTACCAGATTCTGGCCCAGTATCCTTGTGCTACATCGTCCTGCACAGCGATTTCATACACCGTTGCCGGAATGGTGTCACTTCTGCAATTGGAGTCCAGGTGCCTGGAAGTCACACGTCTCATGTCTCCATGACACGAATCTGCGGTAGAGGTGGCTATGGTGCAAAGTGGACCGCGTAACGTCCAAACATTAGGCTGCCCAGAAATATGCCACCGAGGACAGAAAGGAAGTAGCCGACGTTCATGGTCATCACCGCCAACATGCTGCAGAGAGATTAGCATGTAAATCTTCCGATCGGGTGCGCCAACGACTGACAGCAGATATCCGACCCCAGCGACTACTGTATCGAGCAGTGCCCTAGGCACATCCGTAGTGATCCTCCACGGCCAGCTTCTCCTCTCCTTTCCGCCGCCGGCTCCAATACCCTTCTCACCAAGTCTGGCTGCCTCGTCGTCCTGCTTCTTACCAGAGACTATGAATGGTCGTCGCTTGAGCTCGACATTTCGCCATCCACGCTCCTGCATTGCCCTATAGGAGAAGAGACCACGGAAAATGGCGGCTAGGATGATTATGAAGATACAAGTGCCAGCGTACTGGCCCGTTGTTGCAGGTGTCCATTTGGTTGAGTAAAGTGGGGTGCTTGTAGAGGTGAAGAGAGTGCCCATCATTGAGGACATAGAGCCGTCGTTAGTGGAAAGCGAAGTGGATGAAGACATGTCCATGACGCAAACAGCAAACCACCCGAGGAGCGTGTGAGGTTCGACAGTACTGTGAGATTCTGAGATGGTGATAAAGCTTTTTGTGATGAAGAAAAAGAGGAGAAAAGATGAGATTGGGTTAATTTGGGCGGCAAGTAAGAGCAACTGACTTGGGCATGGATGAGGAAAGTAGACAAGGCTGTAAACATTCTAGATGTTTAAAAGAAGGGAAGTTGCAGCTGGGGCGGAAAAGTCAGGTAAAGTAAAGTACATGTAAGCAACGGTCTCGGTCTTTTGATCTCGACCCTGTGTACATATGTACATGTAAGGAAGGGTGGTGACGGCACAAGGGCATCAGAAACCGGAAACAATATTTGAAGAATGATCTACTCTTTGTTCTTTCAATGTAACGTCTATCATTCAACGCCGCCGCCATACAGTTGCCGTCTTATAGTGAAGGATGAGGATGAGGGCGGAGAGAGAGAGAAAGATTGAGCAAGTTTGAGAGCGCTAAAGTATCTAGTGTGACGCTAAGGATAGAATCTCATTCACCGAGCCTGTTGTTCTCGGAGACCACATGGGCAAAGATGACAATTCTTCTTCTTTCCTACACTGTAGTATATTACTGTAGTATTAGTAGAAGAGGCATCATGAAGCAATAGTGGAGAAGATGATTACCTTTTTATTATTATTATTATCATTTATTATGGCATCTCGCATTTTCTTACATGTGCTGCGCGTGCTCGTGTTCTGGCCGACCTTCCCTGAACCAATCAATCACTCCCACCCTCCATGACCTAATCAATGTTCTCTGAGGTACTCTTTCCTCTTGCCATTCAATATATATCTTGCTGTGAGACTTTCCCGCGCTTCAAACATTCCACCGCATAGACAGTCTTTACATTCCTCGGCGCCTCATCACAATGGACACATCAATGTCCATGCCCGCCATGGGCGACGACTCGTCCTCTGCTTTGAATTCTTCTGGCGTTGACTTTTCAAATGATACCCAGGCCATGGATTTTCTGGGAGAGATCCTCGATGACAGCGATTTGCAGATTTCTGGAAATGCATTTGCAAGATACTTTTGGTATGGCGTCGTCATTGTCATTGGCATCGCTGCAATCTTCAACATGGTTCAGATGGCGATACTCAAGTTGAGGTATCTCCTTTCTCTCCTACTTCGAACAACGGACGAATGCTAATCGTGCGCGAGATTCCGGGCTGCTGCTGCCAACGCAACACGTCCAGCTAAACCGAGCAATATCATTAGCAAATCCCTGGCTACCATTACCGCCATACTCCGTGAGGTATCTTATCTACAGTTCACCCCGACCAGAAGAACTTTCTGGCTCAAGGTCCCACCATTGGGCACCATCAGTCTTCTTCTGGCCTACCTTGGCTTCGTCCTTGCTCTCGAGTTCATCGATAATGACGTCCCAGGTGCGCAACACTACCAAGCGCTAGGTATCCGAGCAGCATGGCTGGCCGTGGCTCAAGTCCCTCTCTTGATTCTTCTTGCTGCCAAGCACAATCTCATTGGCCTCGTCACCGGTGTCTCCTACGAGCGGCTTAACGTACTTCATCGATGGGTGTCTCGGGTCCTCCTCCTTCTTGCTACCTTGCACTTGGGCTACCAGAACTACGGGTGGAGTCTGTACGGCCTGGTGCATATGGAATGGTCTACGGATAGCTGCCCACCAACTGGTATCGCCGCATATGCTATACTGCTCTGGCTCAACCTGAGCACTTTAGCGCCATTTCGGAACTTTTCCTACGAATTCTTTGTCATCCAGCACCTGATCACCTTCTTCGGATTCATCATTGCCATAATGATTCATCTGCCATCCACCGCCCTGTACTCCCGTGTCTACATATACATCCCCATTGCATTGTATATCGTGGACCGCCTCATCCGGATTTTGCGCTTCGCATACAATAACATCCACCCTGGCCGCGCTACTTTGATAGCCTTCGAAGGCGGCGTAACTAGGATTCGTGTCCCAATTAAGCACGTCCAGAAATGGAGACCTGGTGCTCACGTCCTTCTCAAGGTCCCACGCCTTGGTTTCATTCAATCCCACCCCGCTACAATCGCATCAGTGCCTTCATCGCACAACAATGACCTAGTCTTCATCCTGAAAGCACACAAAGGCTTCACAAACCGCCTCCTGACATCCGCGACCTCATCCACCGCCACTCTGTTACCAAGGACCCAACAGGACGCCATAGCACCCCAACAAACCCACATAGCCCTAATCGAAGGTCCTTACGGCGGCTCCCACGCCGACTTCGCTGCATTCGACACCGTCTTCCTGATCGCCGGCTCCACTGGCGTAACATTCATCCTCCCCCAACTCCTCGACATTGCCCACCGTGCCTCATCCCAACGACTGCCGGTTCGCCGTATAGAATTCGTCTGGGTAATTAAGAACAGCTCCTGGACGTCTTGGATCTCCGAAGAACTGTCTGGGGCCGTCGCTCAGCTCCGTGCTTCCGGCATAGACGTCGAAATCAGGATCTTCGTAACCTGTGACGGGGCTTTCACCGAATCATCCGACACGACGAAGAAAACAGGATGCCAATGCGACAAGTCCCTCGGACCATGTTGCTGCGTCCGCAATTCCCTTCCAACAACCGATGACGCCGATACCGCAAACGTGAGCAGACCAGACTCAACCAGCTCCACTGACCTAGACGAAAACCCTACCGCCATTCCAACGATCACAACCGCAATCCCACCACCAAACCCCCCCTGCTGCAACAATAAGACGAAGCAGAAGAACAACACCGCCCCCACCATCTCCTCCTTTGCATCACTCATCTCCGGCCGTCCGCCCATCTCCGACCTCTTGTGGAAAACCCTCAATCGCGCAGAGGGCGAGACCGGCGTGGCGGTGTGCGGACCGTTGGGATTGAACGCGACGGTCAGGATGGCGGTGGCGGAGATCAGTAATGAGAGGGCTGTGCACAAGGGGACTGGAGCGCAGGGGATATATCTGCACGCTGAGGGGTTCTGCTGGTAGGGGGGCATGGATGGAAGATTTCCGTTCTGATGCATGAGTGGATGGGTTGTCCAATTCGCAAGTGTTGGGCGATACCCTAGACTGTCGTGATGAGTGTATGATATGGATCTGCCACGGTAAAGGCGCTGCGCGCCTGGACGTAATGTTTCGTGTTATGAGATCTCCAGGGGTGGAATATCTCGTCCTGGTTCGGATTTTGGACAGCAGATTTTGTCGGACAAGGGCCGGGTGCCCGAGTCCCAAAACCACATTCAAGGCTTTGAGCCGGGGTATCGATCTACTACTAATGATAGACAAGCTGCGTTTCAACACAAACAGACGGCCTACTCTCCTCCCACCTCGCCGTATTCAGGGAATACATCCCTTCCATCCACTCCCATAATCAACCCAATCCCTCCATCCCTCACATTTCGCTACCCCGATAGATTTGTCCGTCGCTGCAACGTCAGGTTGCAAGGCGTCCAAGCCCACCCAATCTATGACCGTTTGGGGCCTTTCCCCGTCCCGACTCGTCTCCCTCCAACTTGTGCGCTCATTGTGATTGTTTCCCTTACGAACGTGTCCGACGAAGAGCAGGAAACCCGGAACCAACAAAAGCAGAACGAGTAATGACGGTAACATAGCCTGCAGTAAGCGTTTCGGGGCTGCTTCCCCTTTCACGTCATTGGCAATATGGCTCAAGCCTCTCCCATGATCCGTTTTCACTTCAGCGTCTGAACGTAAAACAGTATGTTCGGAAGGCTGAATACCCACAGGAACGGTTAGCAAAGGGAGAAGCATCAAAACCGGACGGCGGAATTTGTTGGAGCGTACCTTTGAAGCGCGTTTAAGAAGGATCATATAACCAGCATCCATAGTTGGAAGTAGGGTGTAAGTCCCGTTATCAGGGCCATATTGGCGGATTCTTTCCTCAACGTGGTTTAGAAGAACAACTATTCTCACATCAACGAGTATAAACGTATTTCGTTGACAGTGGTACCTACGTTTGTTAGCTTGGCACGTCAATCTCCCTCCAAGCACTTTGCGATCCGCAACCCTAGGTAGCGGAGAATTGTCGGTGCTGTTGCCATCACGTTCTTCATTTTTTGGAGGTCCTTGCCAGTAAGTCTCTATCATGATTGGACCAGGGCCCATGTGAGCCTGTTTGAATATTGTTATGTGCCCTTCCTTGTTCTTCCAGCACCCTCCAACCTTTTCGGTTGCTATCCGACCATCAACGATGAAGTATCGAGGCACCCAGCCATGAGAAACCAAAGACACAAGGGCCGTAGCTGCTCCGACCTCAAGAAAAAAGCTTATTCGGCACTCCAACTGTTCCTCAGGGAGTTCATGAACCGTGATGTCGAGCTTCCAAACCACGCTGGAAAGGGTTGATTCTCCAAGCGCTAGGAAGCGAACAGATTCGAGCTCTATAATTCTCATCTGTATGTCATCTTGAAAGCCCGCAGGGTAGAGTCGAGGCAGATCGATTCGCTCGTAGCAGGTGACTTGACTGGCGGGATGATGACACAATTTCCAGCTGCTTAGCGGGTCTCTTATAAAGGTTCTCATACTCAGTGGTGGCAGAGGTTCTGCAATAAAAACGACTTCCGAGAGTGATCTCCCTTCCTTGGGTCGAAAAGTAGGGAGCGATGCCATACCAAAGTGACAAGGTGATGGATATGTGAAAGCGAAGTACAGATTGAGCGGCTTCTCAAGATCGCAGCTGTCGCGTACAATCACCAATTCTGCCCCTTCGCGCGGGAAAAAGCCGGGCTGGGAGACGTCTTCTTTAAACAGTAACGAGGATTGACCTGGCCCCAAGCTGCTTTTGTGATCGTTCCGAAGCGCATTGGTGACCACGAAAGAGAGGCTGACTTTCTCAGCGTAGAGCTCTTCCCTTGGCATGATGACCGACAAAAGAGCCAGATGGTGGATATGCAGCCTTCCATTACCAGTGACTGTGGCAACGGTTGATAGCTTCACCGTACAATCCCAGGTAGCGATCTTGACTGCTGGGACATTAGGACGGCTCAGGTCCTTAGCGACAACGTAAGGATCCTCTTCTCGGCCCCAGTCTTGATGGGCTTCCATTGGTAACAACTCGGGGTAGGGGGTGATTCCTGGTGACTGGCTCCACTTGCAAGGAACAATTTCAATTGGTAAGTTGCCTTTGAACGTGTCAGTTGTACGGACAAGCGCATCTTGAGATTTGTCTGAATCACGGGTCATTTGCTCGCCATTCGGTAGTTGCGATAGGGTCCTGGGTCTCAGACGATGCCCAGATTTGTGGAACTGTGCCATAGACGTCCACTGAAGATTGCCACGAGCAGGCGTATCGGTATACAGTGGCGCAGAAAGGCTGGTCTCCAAGCTGTTGTTTGATGACTTGTAAGGGATGATCGGCGGTCCGGCTGAGCAAGATCCAGGGAGCGATCCAGCCAGGCAAGGCCTACAGACACGGGCTACTTCCCCAACCCTCGAGTCTGTCTCTGGAAATGGCCGGTCAGGGCTAGGAGACATACGGACTTTTACTGTGGTGGCGGAGTCAACGGAGTCTGGACTGCTGGTGTTGCTGTCGTATTCTTGGTGATTGATAGGGGAGTGATCGCTCGGAGGCGAGGTTTCGAAGGGTGGGGAGCCGGGTTTGGCGTTCACATTGCGGCTTATAGAAGTTGGTAGTGAAGGGCGGCGTTGGGGAAATAGACGTCGTCCACGCGTATTCCAAGGATGGCAGTTCACACTGTCTTCGTTCTTTGTGGGGCTACGTAGCTGAATCTCGGGTTTGTAGTCTGGGTCTGTTTCCGCTGTAGAACATGAGCATTCGAACTTCCTCCCTATCCGTGAGGTACGGGAGTAACCTACTAGAGGAATGTGTACTTGAGATCGGCGACATTGTAGGGATGGGTAACAGTGTGATGACCGCGTTCGAGAGTTGACGACACTTGTTAACACTGGGGTTTAATGTTGCAACGCCTGAAAAAGCTCGGTTTGACCCGTTAAAAGCTGTTGTATTGGTGAATAGAATGACTCGGGTGACTGGATGCTAAGCCTGGACCTATTGTTTTCGATGCTAGAAGAAGAGCCTTTGAGAGGCAGGAGCGCTGCGCCATTTAATTTGGCAAGAGTCAGGTCGGAGCCCGTAAGAGATAGAACTAAGCATTCGCGCTTAGCTCTACCGGTCAACACAGTGGGTGCTATAGCTAAGCATGTCCTTTTTGTCTCAGAGTAAAGTGCGATCGATGCGCTTGAAGTGTCAAGACCCTCAGCCATGGTCTCGACCCCGATACGGCTGTGGCAGAAAGTTCTGTGCTTCCGAGCTTGGCGGCACCAGCGGCAATGATGATGGTAGGTGAGTGTTGGTTTCTACATTTGACATCCCACCGCTTGAATATGACTGCAAGGTATCTCTTCGTGGCTGAGCAGAAGATAAGGACTGCAGAGGAGGGAGGAGACTAGTTACAGCTTGCGAAGGCGCTGGAAGAGTCCGAGCTAGAGGCTGAACTTGGCGGTCATAGTTTATGGGAGGATATTGAGAGTTGTTGTAGCTTTGTTCGTACCCTCGACTCGCCAGTGATTGCTCGTCCGCTTCCATTGATCGTGAGTATGCTCTGGGTTGCTCTGGCTGAGATGGAACAGATGACGGCAGCGGACGGTAAGGGGGTAAAGATTGTGCCAACTGTGGGACCGGTCTTGCTTGGGTAGGGGTATACTGACTCTGCTGGTACTGCTGAGGAGAGTTCCTTGAATGTGTCTGATACATTGAATTAGGTGCTGGAAATTGATACGCAGGATACTCTGTCCGTGGAGACAAGAATGGCGAAGAGTTGGAAGATGAGTTTGTACGTCCATGGCTGAAGGGGTACTCGATGGGACCAGGACCGGTTGAAGGACCTTGAACGTAATATGATCCACGACTAGGTGTTGATGGAGCATATTGACCATAAGCATCCCGCTGTTGTATATAAGAGCGTTGAGAGAGCCGTTGGTCGTGTTCGTATGCAGTCCTCCTAGCCAAATCAATAGACATTCTTTGCCGCTTAAGAGGCAGATCGTCGTAACCAAGTGTTGGCTCTTTGTACCCCGAAGGACCGAAGCCTCCGCTTTGTTCATGTTGCGGCTGCAGCCCCATGTTTCGATATTCAACGGGTGTTTGCTGGGGGTGCCCGTGCGCGGCGTCTGCGGGTAGAAAATCCGAAGGTGCTGACCTTTTGCTGCTGAGCCGTTAGGATGGTAGTTCAGAAGGAGGTCAGACATGTTACCCCAAAACTCGAGGTTCTTTTCTGATCCTCAGCTTCACCCCTTGGTCCCCAAATGAGCGTGATAGAAATGTAGATTCAGACATTCCCGGGAATGCCCGCGGAGTGAATACTGACATTTGTCAACTTTGTCATCAGAATCTATTGGAGAAGGTACTGACCGGTAAAAGGAGATGATGTAACGGATTTTATATATGAGACACGTGTTCTGAGGTTTACTTCAGTCAAAGCTTCATTCCAATGGGAATGGACAGACTTACTTCCCCATCTCAAAGAGACTGAATCGAAGGCGGAAGTCACCCTCAATCTTCACGGAGAGATCCGGGAAAACAAAGAAGCCACCATCTAAAATGGTTGAGTGTTGGTGTAGCCACTGAAATTGGAGCTTCACATACCAGTGTTGTCAACGTCCTTCAGTCTATGAAGTGAGGATACTAATGTTCCTGCCAGAGCGGACTGGGTTGCTGTGTCAATATCCTCGCCCTGATGAGCAGCGGCCAACTGTCCCGGACGATCAAGGTTGGCGTCACAAAGGTTGCAACACATGAAAAAGTATGGGCTTTGCAGGTAGTTCCTGTTCGAGTCAGCTTTTGTACGACGGGGTCCTCATCCTTCGTCTGCCTTACTGAGTTGGATCCTGGGGATCCCTAATCTGTAATTGTATGATGGGTGGCGGGTCAACAGGCTTGCGGTCTGTAAAAGAGGCAGACGTGGTCAGAGTCTTGCTAATATACAGGAGTGTCAGTAAGGCCTCACCTTTTTCCTTTGGCCCCGCGAAAGCCTTGGCCCGCTCTGGCCCCTGACGTACCGTCAGGGTGTATGCATTGCTACGCATCCGCATCGTCAGTGAGGTTCCCGGCAGTGAATTAAGATCAATCAGTCGGCTGCAGAGGCACTGCCGTACCTCGTGAGCCTCAGAAGTTGCGAGGATTCTTCCGCAACGTGTGAGGCGTTCATCAATGGACAGCTTTGACCGATTGATCCGGGGGTTTACGGTTCTGAAAATGAATGGGTTTCGGTTGACAGCTGAGGTGCCAGAGGACTTGAAGATGTAACCATCAAGAGCACAGAGGAATCCTTTGCTGTGGTGTCGATTACTCTGTTTCCCCAGCTGGGTGGGGCTGTCCGAACACAGGGTCAGCCCGATGAACCAGGTGGTGCGGCGAGAGCCGACTTTGGTTGCAAAAGGCAAACGCCCGCTGAGTCAATTCCCTGATCCTTGACTCAAGAATGAAACCCGAGGCTTGATCTTGTGGCTCAATGAGGGGGTTTCCTTGAAGGTCTATCCGTGGCAAAAATCTTGCGCGTCCTCAAGTTCCTGAGCTCTCCAACCAGGCTTTTTGGTTTCTACTTGATATTTTGGTAAAATCAGGGACCATATAATGCGATTGTGGTTTATAGTTGAGTGCGAGGTCAATGGTGAAAGAGCTGGTCAGACAGCTTTGAATGGGTCAGAACAGGAAATTCGGACAGTCGTGAATCGTGATGGCCTGGGATGTGGAAAGGATTCTTTGGTACCCTTGACGCGTTGAGACTAGTTCTTGCTGGTCCCGTGCCTTCTAACTTTCCCTCCCCACTTCGCAATTGATAAACATCAACAAGATGAAAAAGCCAAAGTCTAACCTTCTCCACCAAGTAACAATAATGATACAAGCACCACAAGCTTTGCTTTCTTCTTTCTTCTTTCTTCTTTCTTCTGACTCTTAATCGAACTATGCCTGCCGGGAGAAGCCTTCGCTGACGAGTCTTCCTGATATGATGGCCTTCTGACCTCTCCACGCTTCTGAGTCTGCTCTCCACCAATGAGCACACCAGGAAGTCTGACTGCTCCTCCTCAAGCCGAGTGGAGTCAGATTCTTCCAACCGCGCCGCCGAACATTGAAGTCTGTTGAAATGTGGAGATCAATCACGCCGTGCTGGCCACCAAGCTTCGGAAAAGGACCCAGCATCCAAACTCACACGGGCCGTGGAGAGACTTCCAGAATGAAGCTTTTGACCTCTGGCAGACGAAGCGTCTAACCAATTTTGGGAAAAAGCGATTTCATTCACGGCCGAGCAGTGTGTCGTATCCAAGGCTGTCTCGATACGAGTGGTTTTGAGGGTATTATCGCCTGGTTGGATCACAAGACGCGCAAAGCCCGATCTTTTGAGCCGTACTCCTTTCCAAAGACGTATCAGCTCTGGGGGTAAGAAGGAAGTCGGTATGGCGAATGGGTGTACGTTGGGATTTCCCGGGTCTGGGTTCGAGTCGGAAAGCCAGACAATTGGAAGAATATGATGGATGAGCAGAGGCAAATCAAAGACTCGAAATGGTTGAAAGGTTGGATAAAGCAGTACGCGAAGTGGACGTTCAAAAGAGCTTGGTCATCCAGGAATCTTCTGGTCGTACTGCCTATGTCATATTACATATCATAAGACTACTCGCCTAACCACATCTGCCTGCGACACCCTGGGATTCGGTGGAAGCGAGGAGTCAAATGGAACTTGAACATTTTATGATTTAGGGGAAGATGGGTAGTGCGAGTCGGAAGGAGTCAAACAGCAGACACCTTGCTTGGAATAGCCTTGTTGAGTGATCGTTGGCGTCCGCTAAAGCAAACCTGGTAAGAGTCGGGCACTATGATTCTGAAACTTTACTGTTTTCTGATTGGTCGGTCAGATGTTGACATTGTCCAAACGACTCCATCCTCCAACTCCCAGCCTTTAACAAGCTTTGAAAACAGCGCCTGATTCTCCTGGCATCATAAGGGAGGTCGAATGCCTAACGCGCTCGGGGTTGCATTTGCATTGTGGCCGCAGGCCGACCTGCAGCTAAGCCTAGCGTCGACCGAGCTTGTCGCGTGGGTGCATGACACTTGAGCTAAATCTCCAGCCGAGCAGGAATTCCCTACACAATCTGTATGCCTGCCGACCTCCACTCAAGTAGCCGGACTGGTTGAGAAAGCACAACCGTGAGGCTTGACATATGGCTTTTGTCGTGTCTCAATGCGGAAGACCTTCTCGTCTCCACCTGTCCATGACTACTTCTGCCACGGTTAAAATTGCTACTTGTTCGAAAGCATGCGTGACGGCTTGTTGCATGCGAAAACGGCTTCTAGACAGGCTTGGCTTACATGAACGTCCGAGGGTCAGCAGCGAACGGGCTCTCTGATGTGTCTCCTGGATGTTCACAGCGAAGAGCGCAACTTTGATCCAGACTACTCCGTATCATCCCACTCATTTCAGTCCCAATCCGCCTGGGGGACAGGATTTATACCCGGGCACGATTTGCGTCGGAAACATAGTTCTGAACGGCCCCACGTCGAAGATGACTCTGTAACCGACATCAGCCACAATTGGCTTTGCCTCTAGTCTCTACGAGCCCTAAGATATTGCCAATCGCATTGGTGCTGAAACGCCCTGAACTGTCCTTGGTCATCGTTGTGACCAGGTCATCTCCGTGCGCCACGCCGTCGCTATCACATCACCCGCAGCACAATTACGAAATGTGACTTTTCTAGTCGCTTTCTCACGCCTTCTACGCGCGTTCGGGATTGGGCTATAGCGCCCGTCCGCCCATCTCGAGGGTAAAGACACTTTGTACTTGGGCGCCCACAACGGACCAACGAGGGCATGGCCTCAGCAAGCTTTACGCCTAGTTGAAGAGAGATGTCTTGTGCACTGCAGCGAGCTGTAAGATAGACGCATGCAAATTGCCATGACGGTAGCAATCCCCTCTGGTGTTTGCTTGGTCTGCGTTGAGGTCCCGAAGAGGTACATTGAGCTGCAGCAAAAAGCCGGATGCGGGAAGCATCAAGTCCCTTTGTCGATCCTTACTTTGTTGACGGTGACAGGTCAAGGTAAACCTGGGAAGAACGGTGCATATGCACATTTGACAGGTTCGTTATCCGTCGGCGTTTAGGAATTGAGGTCATCTGACTTTCTCCTTGTTTCTTGCAGTTGCGCGGCCAAATGAAACGTTACTATTGGGCAGATGCTCTCCATATCATCATCATATCATGCACGGCACGGTCTTCTGACCGTGTTTTCGAGAGATACTATGACTGAAAAGGAGCATGAGCGATTTAGAGCTCGCTTCGTAACCGAGCTAGGGAGAGCAATCTCTGGGTTTTGATCCCTGTTTCTTTTCGGCCGCTAAATCTGCGCATCGACCCGCTGCTATCCCGGTCGTCAATCATTCGCTATGAACCTTTGAGCTTTAATCATAAGTAACCGTATCTCTACAAATGAATCGAAGGATGATGATGATGATGATGATGACGATGATGATGATAATGATGATGATAATAAGAATGAGAATGATATTGATAATGATAATGATGATGCTCGGACCAGCAACAATTGAGGGACCATAGATTGTTTTTCTAAAAAGAAAAGAAAAGAAAAGAAAAAAGAGAAGGATAATAAGAATAAGAAGAAAAGACGCCAATCATGCAAGCCTGGAGGACAGAGCACAAAGCAAAAAAGCGACGGCTCTACTTACTTTAAGGAGCATGAGCCATGTGACAAGCAACAATCCTGCCAAACAGGATTCTGTTTTCTTCCATGCAGCTTTGGACGAGGGAACCCCCCCACCCGCCTCCTTCTTCGGCGACCTCTCACCGTTACTCAATGAATGATGGATTTTGTGAATTTAAATTTGATCAATATTATAATCATTATTACTATACTTACTGTTCTCGAGGCATCCATCATGTTTCAAGTCCGAGCATGACCATCATCCAATGAATGAATGAATGAATGATAATTAATTCGCTTTCTACTTTCTTCTTCTTTTTCATGCATCTCTCCCGCCAGCCCCGCAGCCCCGCAGCGCTTTCCCGGCCTTTACCATGGTCCTAACATATTTTAAACTTTCCATCCCCACGCGACATGCAATTATGCCCACATGCACATGCCTTTCCCACATCCACAAATCCCGTCATACTCAATACATCCTCATATCACTATTACCACTACATTCCAAGCTACCACCGCGGTACTTCGGTCTCAAAAGCACAAGGGCCTGCTGGGTCAATTCGCAGTACCCGGTTACAACAAAAGCCTACTGCTAAAGCTGCAGCATCTCGGAGATTATGACCCTCGGCTCCAATGCATCAGAACCATTGTGGCATTCGACCTTGCCAACTCCTCCACTGGATTTGATGCTTCTCGTATACCTTACACAGCCGATTCCGATCGCGCTAATATGGTTTAGCTCACAAGTGCAAGATGATACCGTAGGCATGCAGCCACTAACCTGTCTAGCACACAACTCCCAAATCGATCGTCGACAATCGATTGCGACGCTCATTACCAACGTCGGCGAGTCCGAACCTTCGATTATCCTCAAATATCCCAGGCAATACTTGCCTCTCCTTCACCGAGGCTGGCGGCCAGAAAAGAAGGAGCGTGGCATCCACGTGGGTCCTGGTCCATAGGACCATCACCGAGCATGACCGTCACTAGCGTGACCTCGCCACCCATAAGACATCCACCATCCGACCGCGATGACTTGCAGATACCCAATGACCTGCAGAGGGACCTGACTACAATCTTAAAGCGCGTGGTAGAGCTAAAATTAATGCCACATGGTCAACGGTCCGCTTCACCGAATCTTGCCGCCGGCTCGAATATCACGAATCAGTAGCGGCCACACGCTTCTACACTCTTTCGTAATAATCTAGCCGTGGACTGCCATGGAAAAGCCACATGCTTGGCTACATTCGGGACGACGTCCGGTGGCTGACATCCATCCAGGAAATATAAGCCGACAACGCTACCATATGGTCCCCTACTGTCAATCGATCAAGTCAACGTGCTAAAATCTGCAAGATCTCATCCAGCTTGCTCGATCGTGGC